TGAAGTACCTCCTGTGTAGGAGGGGTTATATAGGGGAGGACTTCCTGTTTGATTGATCTGCCAGTGTCCACTGACCTATTGGTGGTGCAGAACCCACAGTCATTATTATAGCCTGTTTTGTATCCAGTGATGTACGATAAAGATGGAGTTGCGTTTTAAGAAAACTAAAAATTAGCCAATTTACTCATTTGGATATATATTTCAAACTAGGCACTCACGTCAACTACAAATCACATAACAGGCCCTCAAACGCTAACTTCCCACATGCTTTGAATATTAACGCCTTTAACATGTATTAACACACCTAAAGCATTTATGTACATTTTGGATATGCTGCACAGGCGGTTCTTTTACAATGCTAAAATGCAAAAAGATCATTTTAGATGCTTTGCAGCCACTCCATAAATCACAATGTAAACAGAATAGGTATGTTTGTAGTGTATCTGTGGTGCTTTTCAATAGAAGTGAATTAAAGTGGTTGCAAAGCATCATCTCCTGGCAACCTCTGCCATTTGGACACCTCCACCCTCTCCGTGTTAGCAACAGTGAGCAGCTCTGATAGACAAAGAGGAAAATAGTAAAAAAATGGGACCTGTCCATTATCAACGACCGTGTGAAAGAGGTATACATATGTTGCGTTCCCCCCCCCACGCCCAGCAGCACACTTGTGACAAGTCTCTATCTCCTAAGGCAAAGGAGCTACCTACAAAGAGTATGTGTTTTCCATCGTCATGTGATGAGGCAGCTGGATTCCAAATAAACCCCCAATTTGAAGTAAAGAATATGTCTACAACATTAAAACTCATTCATAAACAAGCGAACAGCATAAATTCTCTCCTCTCTGGTTATCGTAAGGCAGACAACAGCAGTTCAGCTTAGACGGCTAAAAGCCTTTAATTTAGGGATCTAAACAGTAAGAATTAATCAATTAAGTGAAGAAAAAAAAAAAAAAGTTTGAGCAATGCACAATATAAGCTAGCCTGATGTTAATAAACTGAATGCTTCAGGGTTAAAACCATGAAAGCCAGACAATCTCCTGTAACCTTTAATAACCGTTACCAAAGAAATACAAACATTTGGAGTTAATTACACAGAAGGGACAATTTCCTCATCCTGATTAACTGCAAACTATAGAGAGTTCTTGTAGACGATTACTGCAACGATCAGCAGTTTAAAGTGTCAGAGACACAGGTGGAACATGCTTAGATTTAAAAGCCGCAGCCTGACATTACACTTTGTCAAAGGCTCTGAGTTACAGAGCTAAACAGAATACATGAGCTGACTTTGTGATGTACTCCTGAATCATGTTCTCCTGTATACTTCTAAGCAAGAACAACATCAGGAAGAGGCAGCACTCAGACAGACTGATACAGGCCACGCTTGCCCAGATGAAATGCTGTGTGTGGGACAGAAAACTCAGCTGTCCATAAATGTATTATGTGCAGCATGTGGGCATTACAGCTCATCCTTCCTACAGCTGCACACATGCATTAAGAGGATGGCAACAGATTAAAGAATTAGGGATTCACCGAAACATATCGGCCAAAAATGATCATATCTGCATAAAAAAAAAAATGTAACCGATACAGGAGACTGTGTGTACTGCAGATGTGGGGGGGCGGTGGAGACAGACAGGAGAGGGGCAGTGTATACAGTGGCTGGCTGTCACGATATGTCAGTGCCGGTTTTTAAATGTACAGTGGGGCAAAAAAGTATTTAGTCAGCCAACAATTGTGCAAGTTCTCCCACTTAAAAAGATGAGAGGCCTGTAATTGGCAGCATAGGTAGACCTCAACTATGAGAGACAAAATGAGAAACAAAATCCAGACAATCACATTGGCTGATTTGGAAAGAATTTGCAAATTATGGTGGAAAATAAGTATTCGGTAACCTACAAACAAGGTGTACCTTCTTCTTTAAGAGGCTCCTCTGTCCTGCACTCATTACCTGTATCAATGGCACCTGTTTGAACTTGTTATCAGTATAAAAGACACATGTCCACAACCTCAAACAGTCACACTCCAAACTCCACTATGGTGAAGACCAAAGAGCTGTCAAAGGACACCAGAAACAAAAATTGTAGACCTGCACCAGGCTGGGAAGACTGAACCTGCAATAGGCAAGCAGCTTGGTGTGAACAAATCAACTGTGGGAGCAAAAATTAGAAAATGGAAGACATACAAGACCACTGATAATCTCCCTCGATTTGGGGCTCCAAGCAAGATCTCACCCGTGGGGTCAAAATGATCACAAGAACGGTGAGCAAAAATCCCAGGACCACACACGGGGGGACCTAGTGAATGACCTGCAGAGAGCTGGGACCAACGTAACAAAGGCTACCATCAGTAACACAATACACCGCCAGGGACTCAGATCCTGCAGTGCCAGACGTGTCCCCCTGCTTAAGCCAGTACATGTCCGGGCCCGTCTGAAGTTTGCTAGAGAGCATTTGGATGATCCAGAAGAGGATTGGGAGAATGTCATATGGTCAGATGAAACCAAAATAGAACTGTTTGGTAGAAACACAACTCGTCGTGTTTGGAGGAGAGAGAATGCCGAGTTGCATCCAAAGAACACCATACCTACTGTGAAGCATGGGGGTGGCAACATCATGCTTTGGGGCGGTTTCTCCGCAAAGGGACCAGGACGACTGATCCATGTACAGGACATAAATGAATGGGGCCAGGTATCGTGAGATTTTGAGTGCAAACCTCCTTCCATCAGCAAGGGCATTGAAGATGAAACATGGCTGGGTCTTCCAACATGACAATGATCCCAAACATACCGCCCGGGAACGAAGGAGTGGCTTCGTAAAAAGCATTTCAAGGTCCTGGAGTGGCCTAGCCAGTCTCCACATCTCAACCCCATAGAAAACTTTTGGAGGGAGTTGAACGTCCGTGTTGCCCAGCGACAGCCCCAAAACATCACTGCTCTAGAGGAGATCTGCATGGAGGAATGGGCCAACATACCAGCAACAGTGTGTGCCAACCTTGTGAAGACTTACAGGAAACATTTGACCTCTGTCATTGCCAACAAAGGATATATATAACAAAGTATTGAGATGAACTTTATATATTGACCAAATACTTATTTTCCACCATAATTTGCAAATAAATTCTTTCCAAATCAGCCAATGTGATTGTCTGGATTTTTTTTCTCATTTTGTCTCTCATAGTTGAAGTCTACCTATGATGCCAATTACAGGCCTCTCTCATCTTTTTAAGTGGGAGAACTTGCACAATTGGTGGCTGACTAAATACTTTTTTGCCCCACTGTAATTACTGGCTTTTTTTTTTCTTCACTATAGCTCAGAGAATTTGCTGTCACTCTCTCCGAGCTAAAAGAAACAGTTTCTTATTGGTCCCCTGATAGCAATAAAATCATAAGTTAAAAAAAATAAAAATATACATGAAAGTAGAAAAAAAAAAAAAAAAATTGGAGTCTCCCCACATACACAGACATTTCAGTTTAGTTTTTCGGCCACATGCATTCTGAATTTTCGGTATCAGCACCATAATTTTCAATTCAGTGCACCACTATAATGAATATGCAAACCCAACATTTCATATTCCCAATATGTGCCTGCTGTACTATGTAGTTCTATGATAATGTATCTTGTTCTCTTTTTATTGCTTCCTTTTTTGTGAAATCCCTGGTGTTCCTGCCAGTCCCTCTGCTTTCCTATTAAAAACTGACCATGCTAGGCTGGAGAGCAGTGGTCAGTTCTTCAGCTGTGCTGGAAACTCAGCCTACTCTCCTCCATTTTTCAGATTTGTACTGACATCCCCCCCCCCCCCCCCCCCCCCCATGAAGCACCAATCAGAATACAGAATAGAGATTTCCGTAAACCACTCTATGGCTCATCATAACAAAAATGCAACAGGATAGTAACTTCTGCAATTTCTCAAAACAAGAAAATAAGTGCACGGATAACAGCATTGAAATCCCACAGGAACATCTTGTATGTAAAATAAACCAGTTAGTAGACACAAAGCAAAAGTTAACCATTAACTCTTTCAGGGAGTATTTAATCACTTAGAAAAAAACAAAATACAATTTTCCCTGTTTTATATCTATACACAAACGTTTTCCGTTTAATTTCTATTCATTTCTTTGTAAGTGGCCAAACTTACCAAATCTGCAGGGGATCGAATAATTAATTTTTTCCCACTGCAGCAGTAAAAACCTTGAAGGGGTACCAAGCCTTCACCACTCTATCCAAAGCTAAGAAAAATGTTTAGGCTTCATTTACCTGTAAAAGGGAACTTCAGTCCCATTTAATGAGGACCCAGCCCATCTTCCTGCATCTTTGATAATCTGGCATGTGCACAGATGTACTGAGGGACTCTGCCTGGCCTTCAGGTCCCAACAAAGATTTAGCGGCACATCTGCAAATGCACAGGGATTTCCCAGACACACAGACTTCCATACCTGCTCCATCTTCACACTTGCGTGAGAAAGCCCTGGCGCATGTGAAGATGTGCCGCAGGGCTCTGTCAGGATCTGAAACCCTGAGGAACATCTGTAGAGCGCATGCACTTGTTTTTGAAGCTGCCTACCTTGATGTGTCATTTTGACATCACAAAAGGCAGGTGGGAACACAAGACCACATTTAACAGCTTACAAAGAAAAAAGTTAAAGCCTTTAAAAATTATATATAATGTATCCAATTGTGGGAGAGGGAGGATACAGGTGAAAAGAAGCTGTTTTAGAATTCTCATTATTAACTTTATGGCACATCCAGGACCCTATCAATTCACTGCCGGGCCAAGTTCTCAGTCATACTGGTATTAGTGACAATAGACATTTTACATAAAAGTCTTCGTTATCCTCGGGTTATGTGGCTGAAGGAAACATTGTAACATTGTTATGTGGCTGAAAACATTGTTCATAGCAACCAGATTTCACCATTTGAATGCATAAGAGGTGAGAGCTGAACACAGGTAGTTCTTACTTCTGGCACACTAACACAGGAGGTCAATGAAGAATCATTCACATACCTAGTAGACTGCATCTGCCTTGTTGTTTCAGGATCTTCGAACATCTTTACAATGGGTTCTGTTTCGGCTTGCAGCTGTTTCAACTGTGCAACAACTGTGGTTCTCTTCTCTCTGAGAGCTGCACAAAATCAGTAAACATAAAATATATTACAAATAATGGATATTGGTGAAACTACACCATATTGCCAAAAGTATTGGGACGCCTGCCTTTACACGCACATGAACTTTAATGGCATCCCTGTTTTAATCCGTAAAGTTCAATATTGAGGTGGCCCACCCTTGAAAGCTATAACAGCTTCAACTCTTCTGGGAAGGCTGTCCACAAGGTTTAGGAGGGTGTCTATGGGAAGGTTTGACCATTCTTCTAGAAGTGCATTTGTGAAGTCAGGCACTGATGTCAGCTGAGAAGGCCTGGCTCACAGCCTCCGCTCTAATTCATCCCAAAGGTGTTCTATCAGGTTGAGGTCAGGACTCTGTGCAAGCCAGTCAAGTTCCTCCACCCCAAACTCGCTCATCCGTGTCTTTATGGACCTTGCTTTGTACACTGGTGTGCAGTCATGTTGGAATAGGAAGGGGTCACCCCAAACTATTGCCAACAAGTTCGGAGCATGAAATTGTCCAAAATGTCTTGGTATGCTGACGCCTTCAGAGTTCCCTTCACTGGAACTAAGGGGGCAAGCCCAACGCCTGAAAAACAACCCCAGTGGCGGCGTGCTTTACACCTCTGCATCCGATGCTTGCATTGCACTTGGTGATGTAAGGCTTGCATGCAGCTGCTCGGCCATGGAAACCCATTCCATGAAGTTCTCTACGCACTTGTGCTAATATGAAGGTCACATGAAGTTTGGAGGTCTTTAGTTATGGACTCTGCAGACAGTTGGCGACTTCTGCGCACTGTGTGCTTCAGCATGTGCGGACCCCCCTCTGACATTTTGTGTGGTCTACCCCTTCGTGGCTGAGTTGCTTCCAACATTTCAGAGTCTCTCAGGACCCCTTCCATCAGGAATGCGGCATGACTGATGAAGGGGTCCTGCGAGATTCCAAAACATTGCCTTGCTGTAACTATGTGATTGTTCATTAAAACTTTTGGACCCATATTGGTGATCCTCGGTGTGCTGGTGACATTCTCCCTTGCATGAAACACCTCTCGCAGATGTACACAGCACGTCAATATGAACAAAGCCTTTTCTTGATCATTTGATAAAGATGCCGCTCTGTTAGATTTTTAGTTTTTATTTTAGACTAAGAACAGTGCAAGAGCATTACAAACACTAGCAAATTGTTAAAATCTACACGCTGACTGCAGAGAATGTGCAGTTCCGGCATCTAACAGATGATGGTAATGGAGCACGAGAGCTACATCATTAGTGCCTGCTCAATGGACAAGATCAGAAAGAATCATCTCTGCTTTCACAAAGAGCAAGGGTCCTTCCCAGGGGCTTGTTGGCAGGGGAGGGCTTTTCTACTCTACTGTACTACTTCTACTGTAGAAGGCTGTAAAGGCAGCTTTAAAATGAGAATGAAGGCTTTAAACATCTTTTGTTCTGATGCACCTAAAATGTAGTTAGCTGATCTGAACTGAATATTCAATTGGGCTTTAACCACTTCAAGCCAGGACTTTACTGAAACTTTCTGTTTACATGTTAAAATTAGTATTTTTGCAAGAAAATTACTTAGAACCCCCCATACATTATACATTTTTTAAAGCATAGGCCCTAGAGAATAAAATGGTGGGTGTTGAAATGTTTTATGTCACATGGTATTTGTGCAGTGGTTTTTCCAAGCGCAATATATTTGAGGGAAAAAAAACAAAACAAAAACCACTTTAATGAATTTTAATGCACAAAAACACAATATATTAGCCAATTGTTTTGTAACATATAAAAAGATGTTATAGCGAGTAACGCTTTAAAACTTCACACTCCTGTGAAACAGCTACAAACTACGTATATTATATTATTCATAGATGGAGCTAAAAAAAGCATTTATAGGTTATCACTTTAGATTTACACAGCAGGTCTGGTGCTATAATTACTTAAAATCAATCTGATGTTCACGATGATACCTTACATGTGTGGAGCGATCACTGTTTACACACCGATGTGTGCATTCAACTTTGCGTGTGAGAACGGAGGAGACGGGTGCTTTAAAAATTGTTGTTTTTTTTTAGTATTTATGTTTACACTATACCTTGTGATAGCACGGGCAGTGACAGGTACTCTTTACTGATAGATCTTCGGTCTATTACAACCAAGATCAGTGTGATTCAATGCCATTTTCAAACCAGTAATGGTTTGTTTATAACCAGCGGCCAACGAAATACGCTTTGCTTCCAGTTTTTTAGACCATAGAGATAATTGGGGTCAATCTGTCCCCGGTCAGCTCTATGCTCAGACGTAGGAACTGCTAGCTGCAGTTCTGGGCTCCCCGATGGGACAGGTAAGCCAGTGCAGATGGAAAAAAAAAAATAGCTGGATGATGCCTGCAGCTACAGGCAGTATCCCCGTATAACCACTGAAAGTCCCATGGCAAACAGGCACGTCGCGGGACGTCAAGTGATTAAAGGTCTCACCCCTGAATTAGTACTGTGTTACCTCAGCATGATAACTCACCATGAGGAATCTCCTTGTCTGGATACAAGTTCTTATACACATCCATTGCAAAGTCCACCATGTTGGTGTCACTGAGCAAGTCCAACTTGCCCTGAAGGAGTTCTTTTTCATTGTAAATCTGCAAAGACAAACAAGCAAAATATTTAGGTGATGCAAACACAGATGGCAGACACTAATCACCTGCTTTTATTTTGTTTAAATCAACAAGGATATTCAGTGACATACTGCATTATTAATTTATATAGGACAACACCTTAAAGTAAACTAGCACTAAAAGGAATATGAAGGCTTTCACTGCTAACCAACTTCTTAAAATGCCAACTGCCTGGCTGCCACACACCTTAACACTGAGTTACTGGCCTGCAGCAAGCTTGTATTAAGTAGAGTCAGAAATTCTGATTAGCATTCGGGGTTAGTGACTCAAAGTACTAAAACTATTAGATCAGCATAACATCCAGGCAACGAGCATTCGCATAAGGATAGGTCCACAATGACAAACTCTTATTCTTGCAGTACAGCTTTGAATGTAGAACTCCAGGGGAGCCCAGATGGGAGGTGCTAAAACATGGTTCAACTATGTGCTTTTAGAGCCCCCCCGCCCCAACCGCTAGTCTAAATGAGACCCCTTAAAGTGGTATCAAACCTAAAAGCAAACATTATATTGCAGCTTACCAATTTTTAGATTTGATGGCTGCATTAAGTTTCTTCTTTACACTCTGGCCAGTAAGTTACTTTTTCAACAGAACAAGCTGTCCTGCAGATGTAGCAGTTAAAGGGATTTACCATGACAGGCGTGCTTACAATGATCAGCTTTTATTTATGTAAAACACCTGTATCCCAAAAGGAAAAAAAAAACAAACTTGTAACTGATAAGGTATTAGCTGGAGAATGCCGTAAATGTGTTAGTGTATCTAAATCTGCTAATCCATCTAACACTCCCCTCCCTCGGATGAAAATACTGCTGTCCAAAGGTGTGCCCTGTGTTCCAAAACAAGCTATCCTGCAGATGTAGCAGTTACAGTGTTGAGACAAACTATTTACTATTGATGGGAGTCCTTACAATGATGAGATTTTATTCATGTAAAATGATTATCCTAAAAGAGAAATAAAAACGGTTTGTTTAACCGATTATAAAGTGTGATCTGGAGTTTGCCTTCAATTTGTTAGTGAATCTAAATCTGCTAGTACATCTAACACGCCCCTCCCCCCAGACTGACAATGCTGCTGTCCAAAGGTGACCCCCTTCATGGGGGCACTCTGATACAAGAGGTGTGTTACTGGCCACTTTTAGTTTTGGGTTTAAAGAGTTACTAAACCCAGGACCCTGCATTCACTCTATCTGGTCTCCCACAGTACATGGAAGTACAATTATTTTAGTAAATATAAACTGCTAAATACCTTTTCTCATCAGCAATATATAGCAGTCTTGTAACTTTTATCAGTGTCCAGCCAAGCACTGGTTAAAGCTTGTAGGAGGAGTATTCATTCTGCTCTGACTGTCCTATGAGGCTGCATAACCCCTGACCCTCTGTCTGGATAGTGCTGATTGGCCCGGTATATAAACAAGATTATGCACTTCTGCCTAGGGGGCGCATATGTGAATACTCATAGCAGAAACTGATCAGCAGGTGCTGGCCAATGAATGTCCACCAGCACTAGTCTATTGTGGGGCACAAAATGAAGCTTTGCCTATGTAAACAAGGCAGAGTTCCATTCTGAAGGGTGAAGTGATAGATCTTGTGTCTCTGCAAAGCAGGGAATAAGATCCATCACTTCCCTTAGTAAAAAGCACCTAGCACAGTACACAAAACACTAGCTAGGCACACAGTTAATCCTTTGATCGCCCAGTATGTTCAACCCCTTCCCAGCCAGTATCATTAGTACAGTGGCAGTGAATATTTTTAACACTGATCACTGTATTAGTGTCACTGGTTCCCACAAAATGTCAGTTAGTGAAACAAAAAAAAAGTCTGCCGCAATACTGCAGTCCCGCTATAAGTCGCTGATTGCCACTAGTAATATAAAAAAAAATTCTAGTATATATACACACCATAGTTTGTAGACGCTATGACTTTTGTGCAAACCATTCAATGTACAATTATTGGGAATTATTTTACCAAAAATATGCAGAAGAATACATATTGGCCGTAATTTAAGAAGATTGGTTTATTTTTTATTGGATAGGTTTTATAGAAGAAAACAAAAATATTATTTTGGCTTTTTTTTTTTTTTTTTTTTTTTTACAAAATTTCCTATTTTTTGGTTTATAGTGTAAAAAATAAACACAGTGGTGATCAAATACCGTCAAAAGAAAGTTCTATCTGTGGGGAAAAAAATGACAAATTTCATTTGAGTACAGTGTGTCCACGACAGTGCAATTATCAGTGAACGCCATATGACGTCCACGGGTTTCAGTAGAGATATCTGGATGATACTTGCAGCTACAAGCATCATCCACTTATCTTTTTTTTCAGCTGATGATTCGCTCATGTGTAAAAGCAGGGCTAGCAGCTCATTAGCCGCTGGACTGCTTTTACAGGCGGCAGGAGAGGGGACCCCCCCCCCCCCCTCCTTCCCAATGGAGCCTCTCTGTGCTATCCCATGTGATTGGGGAGCTGGAAAAGGGATCCGGCGGCTTACCATAGGGACTGCCGAGGACCAGATCATTCCTGGCCATCTCTATGACCCAGGGAGGCTGGAAGTGATGTAATTTCTGGCTCTGGCAGATGTAAACACTGCAATTTTTTTGCTGGAAAGCAGAGATCAGGGTTTTTTTTTTTTAATCTCATGCTTTCTAGCATAGAGGAGATATTTGGGGTCTCAAACACCAGATCCCTCTATAAAGAGGACCTGTTATTCCTTATTCCTAATACAAGGGATGTTTACATCCTTTGCACTAGGAATAAACCTGATCAAAAAATAAATAGGAAAGTTTTAAAGATATAAAAAAAAAAAAAAAATTAAAGCGCCACCATCCCCTCATGCTCACGAACAGAAGCAAATGCATATGTAGGTCGCACCAGTATATGTAAGCGGCATTCGAACCACACATGTGGTATCACCGCGATTGTTATACCAAGAGCAATCATTCTAGCACTGGACCTCCTCTAGAACTCTAAACTGGTAACCTGTAAAAATGTTTAAAGCTTCGCCTATAAAGATTTTTAAAAACCGTAATTTGGTGCCATTCCACGAGCGTGCGCAATTTTAAACCGTGACATGCTTGGTATCTATTTACTCAGCGTAACACCATCTTTTATATTTAAAAAAAAAAAAAATTGGGTTATATATTGTGCTTTTTCACATTACTCTAAAGTTTATTATGAAAAAAGAAAAATGCATTTGAAAAATTGCTGTGTGACAAAGAATTGCAACAACCGCCATGTTATGCTCTAGGGTCTCTGCTTAGAAAATATATATATTTATTAGGAATGCACTGAAATTTCAGTGGCTGAAATGTTTCAGCCGACAACACCCCTTTCGGCCATCGGCTGAAATGAAGAAAGGAAAAAAAAAAAAAAAGCACCAATACAGGCGCCGGAAAAACCCCGCCCCTCGCTACCGCTACCAGCTGCTCGGTAGTTCAGCCGTACCCAAGAAACCATCGATCCCAACACTGGGAATAGAGATGAGTGAAGGAAAGATTGCCGCCACACATCTCTATGCCCTTGGAGGACTGAAATGATGTTACTTCCCGTTCATTTTTTTTTTTTTTTTTTTTAAAGCACTAGATCAATGCTTTTTTTTTGGATCCGATGCGTTACATTGCAGAGGAGAGATGTGGGGTCTTATTGATTCCATCTTTCCATAAAGAGGACCTGTCACTACTTATTTCTATCACAAGGGATGCATGCATTTCTTGTGATAAGAATAAAAGTGGTTACATTTTTTTAAAGTAACAGTGCAAAAAAAAAAAAACAAACATTAAATTTAAAAAAAAAAAAGTTTAACCCCTTCACACCTAAGGGTAAACACCTAGGCACAATTCTGCAACATTGACATGTGTTAGTAAAACCGCACATATCCTCACAACTACTTTGCACATCCAGGTGGATTATACCTTGATTTTTTTAGGACAAATTGGGCTTTCATTTGGTGGTAAATGGTAATGAATAGCTCCTGATTTTTTTTTTTTTTTATTATCAAAGGAAAACTGGCCCAAAATAGTAAAAAAAAAATATATATTTTTTTTTTTATTTAGCGGTTTGTTTTTTGTTACTGCCATAACTGACCACCAAAAAACAAACCAGGATAAATTCTCCATCTCCTGACGATCGCAGCGATACCATATATGTGTATGTTATTTGTTTGTACCTGTAGTATAGCCCAGAAACAAGAGTGCGCATTGTGTGTTTTGTCTTTTTTTTTTTTAACACACTGACACAAATTTTTTTTTTTTATCCTGACTCTTGACTGACCTTTTGACCTTTGACCCTGACCCAAACACAAACCCTGGCAATGAACTAGATCAAACCTGGATCTAGGTATTTTTCATTATTTTTTAACCACTTGCCTACCAGGCACTTATACCCCCTTCCTTACCAGGCCAATTTTCAGCTTTCAGCGCTGCCGCACTTTGATTGACAATTGCGCGGTCATGCAACATTGTACCCATATGAAATTTTGATCATTTTTTTCTCACAAATAGAGCTTTCTTTTGGTGGTATTTAATCGCCACTGGGCGCTTTACTTTTTGCGCTATAAATTAAAAAAAGTGCAAAAAATTTGAAAAAAAAAAAAAAAAGTTTATTTGTTTCTTTTATAAAATTTTTCAAACAGGTATTTTTTCTCCTTCACTGATTTGCGTTGATGAGGCGGCACTGATGGGCACTGATAGGCGGCACTGATGGGCACTGATAGGCAGCACTAAAGGGCACTGATAGGCAGCACTAATGAGGTGGCACGGATAGGCGGCACTGATATGCAGCACTGATAGGTGACACTGATGATGGGTACTGATAGACGGCACTGACTGGCATCACTTCTGGGCACTGACTGGCGGCACTGACTGGCACAACCCCTGGGCACTGACTGGTGGCACTGACTGGCGGCACTGCTGGGCTGCACTGGTGGGTGGCACTGGTGGGCACAGGTGGGTGGCACTGGTGGGCACATGTAGGTGGCACAGGTAGGTGGCACTGCAGAGTGGCACAGGTGGGGGCACTGCAGAGTGGCACAGGTGGGGGCACTGCAGAGTGGCACAGGTGGGGGCACTGCAGAGTGGCACAGGTGGGGGCACTGCTGGGCACAGGTGGGCGGGGCTAGTGGGCGCACTGCTGGGCGGAACTTGCGGGTGTCACTGCTGGGCACCGATCATCAGGGCACTGATCATCAGTGCCCTGATGATCGGTGCCGATCCCCGCTCTGACAACTGCCGGTTCTCGGCAGTACTTTCCTCACGATCTGACAGCGTGAGGAAAGTGCAGCCGAGAACCGGCACTTGCATTTCCCTGTGATCAGCGTGTCATTGGACACCGCTGATCACGTGGTAAAAGGCCGGTGGGATCGGCCTTTCACCACATCACGTGATCAGCTGTGTCCGTAGGACACAGCGATCACGGAGATCGCCGGGTGCGCGCCCCCTGGGGCGCGCAGGAGAGCGCGTTCTGGGAGGACGTCATATGACGTCCACTCAGAACTGGCCGGCCGCAGTGAAGCCGTCATTCGGCTATGCGCGGTCGGCAAGAAGTTAATATTTATTTATTACAAATATTTTTTTTCTCTCTATACCAGGAGTTACAGAGATACAATTTTTATCTCTCTTCACTCACAGAGAGAGAGCAAAAAAAAAAAAAAAAAACACAAGGGGGCCAGGGCTGTACAGTGACTGATCACTGTGATAGCCAATTAGAGGCTATCACAGTGATCATGTGACCCGGAGTTGGGAGTCCCGGGTTACGATCGTTAGAACGGGACCCGGGGTTCTCAGTGACATTGAGGTCTTTGTGCTGTGAGTGCGCACAAAGACAGGTACGCAAATATGCGGCGCCACGGTAAAAAGCCTAGTTCTGTGAGGCCGCGTATTTGTGTGACTTTGGCGTCAAGGGGTTAATTTGCCCCGTCCTCGCACATAGTGGTGAACGCATACATAGGCCACGCCCACATATGTAAATGGTGTTCAAACCACACACGTGAGGTATCGCCATGAACGTCAGAGCAAGAGCAATAATTCTCGCACTAGACCTCCTCTGTAACTTCACACTGCTAACCTGTAGAAACTTTTAAAGCATCACCCATGGAGATTTTTAGGTACAGCAGTTTCAAGCCATTCCACAATTTTAAAGCTTGACATGTTGGGTATCCATTTACTCGCTGTAACATCCTCTTTCATATTTTAGGAAAAAATTGGCATATGTATATTTTATTTTAATCAGTGTATTTTTTTCCAAAAAATATATATTCATCTTTAAAAACTGTGCATTTTGAATTTTCATTTTCGGCACCAGAATTTTCATTTTGGTGCACCACTAATATATATACAAATAAAACGTTTGCGAGTTCTGAGTAATTTTCAAGCAAAAAAATTAAAAATGCTGATTTTCACATATAGCAAAGAAATGCCAGAATTGCCCCGGCAGGCAAGTCTGTAAAGTAACGCAGCGCCGTATTTAAAAAAATGGCCTAGTCAGGAAGGGGGGTAAATCTTCTGAAGGGGGACAGCGACGGGGGGGGGGGGGGGGGACAGGGATGGGGGGGCCATCCATTCGCACAGTGATGAAGCTTTGCACCTGCAGCAAGCTCTCCAACATGTTGCGATCAGCAGGTGACAAACCCGCTGAATGTGGCCCATTCAAGTGAATGGGGAAACAGTGATTGTTGCGGTTGCTGTGCGTTTGTTCTGAAAATAGGAGCTAAAACTGGCACATCACCGCCTGCGAATATACCTCTGAAAAACGATCCAAACACAGATCACTTGCCAGAGAAACAGTGAGGTTAGACGCAGCCTGAGGTAATGGTTCCCCGGCCTCTGGGATCAGTACTGAGGAGGAAGGCTCTGCAGAGGATACACAGGGTGAGATGGGCCTGTACTGTGAACTGTCTGTGCTGCCATGGCTGGCTCTGTACCACACTACTCCCACCCAATCACAAGCCTCCAATATACACCTCAGAGCCGCACACAACTGTACAGCCCACCCGTGCCCCTCTCCGGGAACAACATGGCGCCGCTCATAAGTCATATTGCTGGCTCAGCCTGCAGGCCGCGGCCTCCACTCTCCATCCCCCCCATCTCCCCCTCCTATCACTCACCTCTTTCACTGAGAGGAACTCCAGCAGCGGGAAGACCAGGTGTCGGTCCAGAAAGTGAGCGATCTTGGTGGTGAGATCGTACTCCGCCATGGTGGCCGCCGGCGGCGTGAAGGGAAGAGGATTCAAAGGCGGTAAAACTTTATTACACTGATACTGTAGAATCCAATGCGAGGAGGAAAGAACAAAGAGGCGTGACCAAGCGATAGCCGCTAGAGGGGGCGTGGTGCTATCAGCGAGCACTAGAGGATAAGTTATATAGCCAATGAGTGTCTTCATTCCGGGAGCCATACTGGAGTCACTTCACTCACACTCACCAGGAGTTTCAGATCACAATGTGCATGTTATAAATATCGCCCTGATGGGGAATCCTTAGTTATACACACTGAGGTGTATGTATTGGTGAAACTTATTTATATTGTATTGGAGAGAAATTAAAGTAGAACTATAGGCAAAACGTTTTTTTTCAGGGCTGTTCACACTATAGAAACATAGTCTGGATGTATTTCTGCATGCGTGCTTTTGATGCATTCGTGCATTTTTTAAGCTTTTTTTAATGCTTAAGGGTTCAAGAGTGCTCTGCATATTAAGTGGAGAGTTTGGGAGTGCATTACGTATAGAGTGGAGAGTTCGGGAGTGCACATTACGTACAGAGCGGAGAGTTCGGGCAGTGCATTACGTACAGAGCGGAGAGTTCAGCCGTGCACTACGTACAGAGTGGAGGAGAGTATTTTCGGCAGTGCACTACGTACAGAGCGGAGAGTTCGGCAGTGCACTACGTACAGAGCGGAGAGTTCGGCAGTGCACTACGTACAGAGCGGAGAGTTCGGCGGTGCACTACGTACAGAGCGGAGAGTTCGGCGGTGCACTACGTACAGAGCGGAGAGTTCGGCGGTGCACTACGTACAGAGCGGAGAGTTCGGCGGTGCACTACGTACAGAGCGGAGAGTTCGGCGGTGCACTACGTACAGAGCGGAGAGTTCGGCAGTGCATTACGTACAGAGCGGAGAGTTCAGAAGTGCACTACGTACAGAGCGGAGAGTTCAGCCATGCACTACGTACAGAGCGGAGAGTTCAGGAATGCTGCTACATATCGGAGAGTTCGGCAGGAGCAGAAAGATCAGGAATGCGCTACATACAGAGCGAAGAGTTCAGGAGTGTGCTGCATACGAGAGGGCAAAGATCAGGAATGCGCTACACTACGTACAGAGCGAAGAGTTCAGGAGTGTGCTGCATACGAGGGGCAAAGATCAGGAATGCGCTGCGTACAGAGTGGAGAGTTCGGGGAGATACGCTGCATACAGAGCGGTGAGTTCAGAAGTGCTCTACGTACAGAGTGGAGAGTTCGGGAGTGCACTGCATACAGAGTGGTGAGTTCAGAAGTGCTCTGCGTACAGAGTGAAGAGTTCAGGAGTGCACTACGTACAGAGTGGAGAGTTCAGCAGTGCTCTGCGTACAGAGTGGAGAGTTCGGGAGTGCGTTACATACAGAGTGGAGAGTTCAGGAGTGCATTATGTACCAAGTGGAGAGTTCATGAATGCACCTCGTACAGAGTGGAGAGTTCAGGAGTGCCCTGCGTACAGAGTGGAGAGTTTTGCAGTGCATTACGTACAGAGTGGAGAGTTCAGAAGTGCGCTGCGTACAGAGTGGAGAGTTTGGGAGTACAGTACGTAAAGATGGAGAGTTTGGGAGTGCACTGTGTACAGGGGGCAGAGATCAGGAGTGTGCTATGTACAGAGTGGAGAGTTCAGGAATGCATTACATACAGAGTGAGAGTTCAGGAGTGCCCTGCGTACAGAGGGAAGAGAGTTCGTAGCAGTGCATTACGTACATAGTGGAGGAGGAGTGTGCTGCGTACAGAGTTCAGGAGTGTGCTGCGTACAGAGTGGAGAGTTCGGGAGTACAGTACGTACAGATTGGAGAGTTTGGGAGTGCACTGCATACAGGGGGCAGAGATCAGGAGTGTGCTACGTAGAGATGGAGAGTTCAGCAGTGCATTTTGTGTAGAGTGGAGAGTTCAGCAGTGCATTATGTACAGAGTACAGTGTTCAGGAGTGTGCTACGTTCAGAGTTCAGCCATGCATTACGTACAGAGTGGAGAGTTTGGGAGTGCGCTGCGTACAGAGTGGAGAGTTCAGGAGTGAGCTGCGTACAAGGGCAGAGTTCAGGAGTGCGCTGTGTACAGGGTGTAGAGTTCAGGAGTGCACTACATAGAGAATCCAGAGCTCAGGAGTGTGCTGTGTGCAGAGTGCAGGGTTCAGTAGAGTGCTATGTACAGAGTGCAGAGTTCAGGAGTGTGCTATGTTCAAAGTTCAGCCGTGCATTACGTACAGAATGGAGAGTGCGGGAGTACGCTGCGTACAGAGGGCAGAGTTCAGGAGTGAGCTGCATAAAGAGGGTAGAGTTCAGTAGAGTACTACATACAGAGTGCAGAGTTTAGGAGTGTGCTATGTATAGAGTGCAGGGTTCAGGAATGTGCTATGTACAGAGTGCAGAGTTCAGGAGTGTGCTACATGCAGAGTTCAGGAGTGTGCTATGTAAAGAGTGCAAAGCTCAGGAGTACACTACATACAGAGTGCAGAGCTCAGGAGTATACTACATACAGAGTGCACAGCTCAGGAGTGCAGTATGTACAGAGTTCAGGAATGTTCTGCATATAGGGTGCAGAGTGCAGGAGTGCTCTATTTACGGAGTGCAGAGTTCAGGAATGTGTTATATAAAGAGTACAGAGCTCAGGAATGCACTGTGTACAGATCCTGCTATCCAATTTAGTCTAGTTAGGTGCTGCCCCATATGGGAGATTTAGGGTTAACTCTGGTTCCCGTGGTTTTTTTTTGGGTCTGTCCCACTGCTCCTGTGCACTACAAAAAAGACAGTGGTCTAGAGCCCGGAGGGAGTGGCGTTACACCTTGCTGTCATCTTTGTAACCTGCCATCATGTAGGAGAGTTGTTGGTACCTGTGGCCTGCCCCAAAGACACCAGCTACTGGAGGCTGCCATACAATGGACTCTGTTATGGATGGACTCTACCTTTTGCTGCTATGCCGGGGCAGCACACAAGCCTGAGTTAGGGTTTAGGGACGTAGGAAAGGATGGTTTCATTTGTGCGTTTGCACTCTGTCATGTTTTGCACCTTTCTAAGTAAAGCACTGAAACATTGCCTACTGCCTGGTCTGAAGTTATTAAAGGAGTGTAATGCAAGTAACCAGCACCACATACAGCCTCTTATTTGGGTCACTAGGAACCTTGGGGTATGAAGATAACAGATGGGTAACAGATGCCAAAAGTCAGTACAAAGACTGTCATTAAGAGTGTGTCGGGGGCAGGTGGGGCATTCTTTATCAGTGAGGGAGTGTTGTCTGCGTTATCTCTCCTGGCAGTCCATCTTCCATAGCAGTGGTAGCGGATTTGCACCCTGGAGGTCCCCATCCTGTGCAAAGGTACGTAAGATCAAGAGTTAAGTCATGTGCATGTTGGGGCCTGCACTAGGAACACAGTGGGGTTCCATTCCACTGCCGGGAGAAAGGTGGTAGAGAACACTAGACAGGTGTATGTGGACATTGGCTCAGTGCATCCCACTTAATTGCAAGTTATAGTGAAAGGTGTACATTTACACAGGGACCCAAGAGCTAACACAAGAGCTAACTGAAGGACAGTTTGTTGTGCAACTGTACATGATGTACGTTCATCTCCGGGAGGAGAGGCCCACCTCAAGGTTGAGTATTGCCCCACAACAGCCTCAGCCTTGTCCCAGGGTATTGATGAATACTGCACAGAGCAAAGATACCCCATGTGCTAGGAGAGTGACCCTGTCTCAGGTGCCAAGCATAGCCCAGAAAAACGCACACCACAGGTAATCATCTCATGTGATCCAGACTTGGCGCCCAACAAGGTAATTGGGAAAACATGGAGGAAAGTTCCATCTACCCCTTGTACTAACAACCCTGCCCTCAGGTTTTCTGCCCGGCTCCTTTGATTTGTGAGTCAAGAAATGTTGGGCAAGAAGAGGTTGACAGGGACACCCACATAGTAAATTTTGGCTAGCTCATCAGTCACCAGCTAAAATTTGCTCCATATATGGCCAGCTTTACTGACAGGATCAACAGGTGATACAATTATGTTGCAGGGGGGAACTCAAAAAAATGAAAACTGTGTTAAAGTGGTTGCAAACCCTTACATATATCCAGTAAAGTGACTGGCCACAGGTAATACAAAGAGATTAAACAAATCCTCCTACATCAGTTGTACCTGTTTATTTGCAGTCTTCTCTACATCCATTCAAAGTGCTGAATTTATAAAGTTTTTCTAAGTTGTCAGAAAAAAGAGACAGAGAGCTGAATTTACAGTCTGCAGAGCTCAGTGAGGTGAATTCTGAGAGCTGATTGGAGGGAAGAGACAATCCCCCTCACACAGCACACAGGAGCAGAGCTGAGGCTGTCAATGTGCTGTTGGTCCCTCTCCGTCACCATTTTTCTCTTGGTGTCAGGAAAACTTGTCATTAGTAATTCATTAAAACAGAAATTAAAGCAGTTGTTCAGTCAGATCTGCTAAAATTAAAATTTTAGCAGCTTCAAAAACTGTAGCTGTTGACTTTTAACCTCCCTGGAGGTATTCCCGAGTGTAGCTCGGGGTAAAGTTTCAGCACCACAAGCGGTAACTCCGAGCTACACTTGGGAATACCCTGCAGTGTTGCTCCAGGATCTCTTCTTCACCTACCTTGTCCTTCGCTCCCGCGATGTCCCCCCTGCAGTGTCCCCGGTAATGTCCTCCGGCCGATGCCGGCATCCGTCTTCTGGGTTCCGGTCCCTGCTGGGGTCAGGACGTACGTGGGACAAAACGGCGGGAAATTTAAAAATGTAAAAAAGTGACATTCACTAAATACACTAAAATCACATAGTAAAACATTACTGTATCAAACCATTTCACATACATTTTGTCCCGAGTGCTTTGTCCTGTGCCCTGCCTGCATTTTTACAGTTTTTTCTGCCTGGAAACTGAGAAACGTCCATGGCGTCCAAAAAGCGTCCCTTTAGGTCAAAAGCGGTTTTAGACCACCTAGAGAACAGCGATAGTAAATCAGAACCACTTGCAGAA